TATATACTGCTTTCTCCTTTGCCATTGTGTTTCAACAAAGAAATTCTCTAAACTTTATTGATACAATAAAGTTTGCATATGTGCCCTTGCACTTTGTCTCCTCTACACTTGTGTCTCATCTCAAATCATCATAATCAATGCTGTTTAATCTTATTTTCCTCACAGATCATTTTACACTGTCTCTTGTTATGGTATCACATTTTCACCACAGTGTCACTATAAGTATAAAACAGATCACATCATTTTTCTACACAGGTTCTTTTCTATCTATTGTTCAGCTCACAACTGACACTCTGCCTTCTTATCACCACCACAACCACACTGTATTAGCTTTCTAGCAGCCTTTCACAGGATCCAAAATGTTTCTAACTTTGTAATCATCTATACAGAGAACTTGTGATGGGATTTTGTCAGATCTGCATGTCTTAACTATTCTCTTCATTTCATGTCCCCTTAAGTGTGAGCTTCTCAAAAGAACTTACCACTCTAATTTGTGTGTACACAATGAGAATATGGTGCCCTGTATCTTGCTTTGTTTTCTTTACTGCACTTTATATTATATAAAACATTCGTACTGATGCCTTTGTTTGCACCATTACTGTCTGAGTCCACTCTGCAAAACACACACTTGTCATAAGTATAGAATTTTCTATGTATGTGCCATAACTGCTTCTCCATAAACTCTAGTGATATCTGTGGTACAATTCCTATAAGAGTAATATTAAAGAAGAGGCACTGTGAGTTTCCATGTTTATATTCATTGAAGCACTAGAGGAAAATGTGAGGGTCCTAATTTAAAAGAATTAGCATTTTAAAAAATGATGCTTTTTCTTCTACATTATCTATAAATTCAACCTAAATGTCATGAATATTCACAATGCATTTTCAAAAAGTGTATTTTGACACGCTAAAAAGTTGAAATGTGAATAATCCAAGAAATTTGAAATAAAAGTTGAAAATAAAGCCATAGTAATCAAAATGTTAAGAAAAACTGCAGTCATTAACAATTTTTCCAACATCCATGATGCAATTTCATATATATCTATCTATATCTATATCTATATCTATATCTATATCTATATCTATATCTATATCTATATCTATATCTATATCTATATATGGCAGAATTTCAAGTTAATGGGAAAGTAGAAAATGACTACAATATTAGAATAAATGGCAAAATATTTAGAAAAATTTATCACAGTAACTCACAAATGTATATCCTTCAAGAATGAATTCTATCCAGGAATGGTGTGGCATGCCTATAATCCTCACACTAGGGATGCAGAGGCAGGAGGATCACTGTGAGCTCAATACCAGCCTGGGGTACAAAGTGAGTTCAAGACCAGTGAGGTCAAGGCAGTTCAAACAGACAGAAAATCTGATATGTTTTAGAGCAAATAATTGAAAATACTGTTTGTGACAAGCTGTGTACCCTACATTCATGGATTTCTTGGTAAACATCCTCATTTTGCATTCACATGGGGCCATATTAATTGAGTTTCCCTGAATGGAATGTGAACATTTTTGATTTATGCTCCATTTAAGCCAGTAAAATGAAACACTACAAAACCATCATAACTCCATCTTCTGGATATTAACAAGCATGACACCCTTGAAAACCACAAAGATTTAGTGTGCTGTCACTCGCAGTTTACCAACTTGTCACTCCTTCCCTCAACTAGGGATTATGTATGTGAAAAACAGATTTAACTTTTAAACTACTGAGATTAACGATTTGTTCATATTAATTGTGATAGTTGAGAGAAAGTAGGCCATTAAAGTTTGACACTGAGGTAAGATCCAACTTTCCAACTTTTGCAAATAGAACCATTCATTTGCATATTGTCTGTGACTGCTTTCTTGACATCTGGATGTTAAAATGTGTGGCACAGATGCCTGGATGTGTCAGACTCCATTTTTATTTATTTTCAGGTACCATCTGAATTCATTTGGCTAGCCTATGTGTCGTGCCTAAATTTCACCTTTATTGAAAGAAGGTTAATAGCAATGGCTGGGTGCTATACTGCAGTGATAGTATAGAGCTCAGCAAAGCAGTAATTTGCTTTACTGACTTAAAGTTGGTCATCTATTGGAGGAGTTAAATGTAAACAAATAATTTTATACCACATATTAATAGTTATCACATTCACCAAGAAGAGTGATGTACTTTTTAATTGTACCAGGAATCACAATGGATTTTTTTTTTACATTTGTATTGATACTCCTGTATCAGTCTCCTTTACTGCTGGGATTACAGGTATGGGACACTGTGCCAGGTTGCAAGACCTGCACTGCATGAAGTTCCATAAATCAAACTCTGGACTTCAAGCTGAATTGCACCTCTCATTCCACATTGAGAAATACTGCTTTAAACCAGCAACTCAAGGACCAGAGTGATAACTCAGCAGTCCAAGCACCTGCTTGGCAAGCACAGGGAATGAATTCTATCCCTGCAGCATGTGCAGCACCAACCTCACCTGTGCATGTAGAGCCGGCCATTGAAACAGCTATAATACCAATACAGGGGAGGCTGAAAACAGGAAATTCACTATGAATCCAAGCTGTGTAAAGACCTGTCAGAAATACATAAAGATTTTAAAAAACATTAAAAAGTTAAAAAATAAATAAACAAGCAACTCATGAATCATGGTAGTCAAGTCATGCAAATTCTTTGCTACATTACACAGAAACATGCTATTTCAAAGTTTATGACAGTCTTCCAGATCTCCTGTTGTTGCCTTATATAATTTTCTGTCATGGTTCCCATTTGTGTTAATTACATTTTTTCCATTGTTGAGACCATATGTCTAACTCTCAAAATTTAAAGATAAAGAAGTTTATATTGATTGGCTCCATAGTTTATGAATTTCCATACATGGATAGCTGACTCTAAGGCAGAAATATCATGGCAGAAAGACATGGTAGAAAAAAGTACTTCACTCATGGTATCTGGGAAACAGGGACTAGTGAAAGAGTGTCAAAGAGTAAAATGCTAGGAATAGGCACAATATCACACCACAGAGTCTCTCCTAGACAGACCCAGAAGTTTGTTTTACTAATCACCCTGGCATCTATCAGGTCAATCAAGTTAGTAATCCAGATTAAACATCACATCTTAAAGGCCACAGTCCAATCTTCACTAGTTTTTCAGAATTAAAGGCTTAGCAGCATTTCTTCTATCCAATTCATGGTGCTTTTTAATCTAAAACTTCATCTTATCTACATTTATTTTGATATGTTCCTGACTGTCCATGTACACTTAAAAAATATACCACTCATTAATCCATAAATTTACAACTTGATGCTATTTTGTAAATATATCTCCATGAAGAATGTATTTCATGCCTATATCCTTACTTCCTAAAAATGTACCTCCAATTTTATAAACATTTTTAAAATATTTACTAAATACTTGCAAGAAAGAAGGAAATAAATCCATTTGTCAGTAGGCAAATTCTCATATTTGTGATTTTTTTCTAATATAGATCTTTGTTTCAATTTTCTACCAAAGTATATTCCTACTGTCTCAAATTTCCTTTTTTTGATTCTAAGGATTTGAAGAATAGTGGCTGTGTTCATGCACTTAATCACTGTTTTCCTTCCCTTCATTTCTCCTCCCTTCCTCTGTGTCCTTCTCTCTCCTTTCTGTTCTTCTGATTTCTTCTATACCACTTTTATTTCTTTCATTTTATTTATTCCTTCTGCTTACCAACCCATTTTCTTCTTTACTTTTTTATGTTAAAGACATATAATAGTTGCATTTTAATAGGCAATTGCTTGAATTCATCTGTGTAGAAAAATAACAAAATATTAAGAAGCAAAATGGTTTATAACAGGGTGGTAATGGAAAAAACTCAAGAAAAGTCCTTTTTTCCCACATTATTAATGTACTCATCATAATCAGAAAATCAGCACTTCCATCAGACTATTTTGCAGTTATTTTCCTGAGTGCCTGTTTAACATCTTTATTTCTCAGGCTGTAAATGATGGGGTTCAGTAGAGGTGTCACTGTTGAGTAGAAAACAGAGATCATTTTATCCCTTTCATTCATTATCTTGGAATTTGGCCTCATGTAGTCAAATATTGCTGAGCCATAGAAGAGAATAACAACAATGAGATGGGAACCACATGTAGAGAAGACCTTGAGCCTTCCCTCTCCAGACTGCATCTGGACCACAGTGGAGATGATATTCCAGTAGGAGATCAGGATGAGGGAGACAGGAGCCAGGAGGATTACCACACCCACGGCAAAGATGGCCATCTCTGTTGTGTAAGTGTCTGCTGAAGCCAACTTCAAAAGAGTAGGAGGCTCACAGAAAAAATGATTAATGATGTTGTTTCCTTTGTAGGGAAGATTCAGTGTGAATGTGGTGTCGACTACAGACACAATGGCTCCACTGGCCCAGGATCCAACAGCCAGCTGGACACAAACTCCATGCGTTATGATAGTGGAGTAGTGCAGTGGCTTGCACACAGCCACATATCTGTCGTAGGACATCACTGCCAGAATTGCACACTCTGTACCCCCAATCAGTAGAAAAATAAATATCTGTGTTGAGCATCCAGCAAAGGAAATGGTTTTCCTCTTCATCAGAAAGTGCACAAGAGCTTGGGGCACTGTGGTAGTAGATAAACAGAGATCAGCAAAGGACAGGTTACTTAGGAAAAAGTACATGGGTGTGTGGAGTCTGGAGTCTGTGTGGATGAGCATGACCATCAGTAGGTTTCCCAGTATAGTAAGCACGTAGATGACCAGAAACATGAAAAAGAGTACAACTTGTGTGTTCTGATCCTGTGAGAGGCCCAGAAAGACAAATTCGACTACAGAAGTTTGGTTCCCCTTTTCCATGACTGTTTACTTCTCTTTGCAGAAAAACACAAAGAAGAAAGAAAAATGCATCATCAAGCAATTCTTTCATAAAGTCTGAGTAAATTAACTATTTTATTAATCATTATCCAAAATTGTATTACTGGTTTAATATTGAGATCTCTTTTAACTTTGTAGTTCTAAAATTAAAGTCAATTTCTGTTTTTATTTACTATTCTTCAATCTTTTCATAACAAAAGTGAGAAGGAATCATTGTGAGGGTGTTATTTGAGTGATCAGTTCCTCTACTTTAGGACTTTTGCTGTAAAACTGAGGTCATGTTTACAGTGCACTCTTCCATTAGGTCATCTTGGGAAGCAAACTAATTAATACAGGTTTCAATGAATGAGTTGTTCAAAACTAATGGCACACAAGAAGCCTGCTCCTTTTTTCATTTAACAACATAATATTAAAAGAATTCTGGGCCAGAAATAGAAAAATAATGTCTGTGATGTCTGTGATTGCATCCATGACCAAAATCTTCTGACATTTGTATGCAATGTGAAGAGAATCTTTATGTACATAAGTAACAAGGCCTAGATGTTTTCTAGGTGGACTCCATTGTATCCTTTATTGAATCCTTAATCTTTGTGGTATACTCTCTCATCCTTTCACATGGGACCTTTGGGTAATAACATGTTTTTTAAACTGGACACACTCTTATAATTATTAATACTACTTTCCTGTTTTGTACTTTTTCTTTCAGACAATGAGTTGGTTATGGTTACAAGTAGATGATAGAACAAAAAATTGGAGGATGTATCAGTCTGCTTTTGAAAATCCCTCATCAATCTGTATCATGAAATTCTGAGAAAAAAAAATATATATACATATGATTCTGAGCTGCATATAATAACACACTATAATGAGTGGAAGAATGAATTATGTGCACGAACACAGTTCCTTTGAATGAAATCAGTAAGAAGAAAATAATTTTAAAACTTTAAATAGTAAGGTTTGGCCAAATAGCTCCGCAAATTGAAGTGCCTGCTTAGGCAGATGCAGAAGCCAGGGTTTGCTCCCCAGCCTGCTGTGCCAGCCCTGCTCTCTAGGGAGCGCTGAGACTGTATCTGAGACTGGGCAAAGTGGTGGGCTCCTGTAATCTCAGCTCTTGGGAGGCTGAACATAGGCAGATCAATAGGAATCCAATCTACATAGTGAGACCCTGTACACTTTGTATACCCTGCATTAATATTTAAAAAAAAATTCAAAACAAAAACATTTTAAAGTGTAAAAGAAACAAACTGAAGGACAGCATTCAGTACGTATTTTCATAATAGTTCAGAAAAGGCAATACTGGAAAAGGCAAAGAAAACATATTAAATAAAATAATAGCTGGAAACTTGCCAAATATTAGGTGAGGTGGACTATCCACAACCATAAAGTGGGATATAAATAGGCTTTCTCCAAGCACCTTTAGAATTTTCATGTAAAAATATAGGATAAAAAGCTAACCCTAAAAGCAGCAAGTGCAAATGTTAAGTCACTTCTAATGAAACCCTATTGGATTAACAAATTTCTCCGCACAAATCCTGTACAAGGGGTGTGTGTGAGATTTATTTACAGTGATAAAAGAAAGCAAACACTTCACCAATCAACAATACTACATCGTTTTAGCTTTCCATCTCTGTGAATGTATCACTGAGGTAATCAACTTCAATTAAAGTGGTATTCTAGCTCTGCGTTACCAAGGATCCATCCCTGCTCCTTGGGCACACTGCATCATGCGTTGAACACTGGATCACATCAAGTGCATATGGCAGGAGGTGACCTGCTCTGCAGATGACATCTGGGAAGCAGAGGAAAGAAAGAAAATGTGGGGATATTGATGTACTCTTGGACATCACACTTTCCTCTGACCTAGCTTCCTTTCACTAGATCCCACATCCCTAAAGTTCCATCATCTCCAAATATTGCTGTATATTTACAACCTAGTTTTTAAAATGTGGCAGGTTGACTGTACCGAAAATCAAAACTATAGCATCTGTCTGGAAAAGCTGTAGCTTGGAAGTCAAAGAGTCATAAAGGATTTCTCAGACAAGCAAAATCAGAGGAAAGTAATCCCACTTGACGAGCCTATATTTTTCTTCTAAAATTGGTTGCAGAGAAGTTTAAACTCTGCCTAACGTCCATTTATTGATTATAGGTCAAATCATTTTCTGTTTTAAGGTGTTTAGAGCTAATCATCTAAAACTACTTTCATCTATATAAGTGTTTACAAGGAGAAAAGTGAGGTTCTAATAAAATCTTTTAAAGCAGCTATTATTATGTTGTTGTTTTGTTTTGTTTTGTTTTGTTTTGTTTTGTTTTGTTTTGTTTTGTTGGTGGAACCGGGGATTTCATACAGGCCCTTGTGCTTGCCAGGAAAGCCCTTATTCTGCTGAGCTATCTCACTGGCCCCCAAAATTAAGAATTATTTTTTTTTTGTAGAACCAGGCATTGAACTCAGGCCCTTGCACTTGCCAGGGAAGTGCTTGTTACACTAAGCCATCTCTCTGGCAGCAGCGATTATTATTTTTTTTAGCAGCTATTATTTTTAAAGCTACTATTCAACAGTTTGGCATGTTGCCCAATAGGTCATAGAAGGAATTCAATGAACAATAAAATCACGGTTTCTACATAATTTGAGTGATTAAAAAGGAATCAATTTTAAAAAGCTAGCTCAATTCTTTGGTAACTGAACAAAAGTGATATAGCATTCCCATATTATTATATACTTAAAAATGCAACAAAGTGGTTGTTGAAAAAAATTACAAAGAGAACAATGGTTGAACAGGATACTCACTTTAGAAGTATTAATAATGTATTTGATAAAAAGAAAGTTATCTTTTGATTTATGAAGTTGTTTCCTTGAATGAATCTATAAGTTGACAAAAATTACAACTAAGTTCACAAAACGTTTAGCAAGTGAATTTGATAAGTTCATTCTAATTTCTATTTATACAAATAGTTTATAAAACAACATGATGGATATAAAAGTAAAATGGTCATGTTTACTGTGGCACTATTCAAAATTACCAAGGAATAAGGAAAACTTTTCAAGGTATCTATCAAGGGATT